ACACCCCCACACCCCCACTCCCCCGCCATGCCGGCTCCCAGGCCTCCCAGCTGCTCCTTTCTCACTCCTGCCCCAGGTGTCCAGCAGGCTAATGCCTCCGCCAGCCAGTGTCCCAGCTCCTCCCCCTCAGTCACTCTGTAGCCCAGGACAGTGGTCCTCGACTGGGGTTCTGCGCTGTTGTGACTGGGGGTACGGGGACTACCCTTGGCATCTAGTGGGAGAGAGGCCACGGGAGGTGCCAGATGTCTAGACGCACGGCCCACCCCCACCACAGACTGTCGAGCTCCAGGTGCCTGGAGCCCGGGGTGGGCACCCCCGTCCAGCACAACAGCACACGGGGCTCACACACACCATCTCTTGCCAGAGCGAAAGTGTCCTCCCATCCCTCTGACGGCAGAGTGGCGATCAGGTCAGGTCATCACCCCCAGCCACCAGCATGAACCCTGAGGACCCATGTGATGGGTCCTGTGGACCTCTGGCCTCGTCTGAAGGAGTACATGGCTGGGTGGCCATTTAGAGGACATTTAACAGTTCCAAGTCAGCTTCCTGGGCTGTAAAACAGAGACACCACCGGGGTCCACCATCCCTTACCTGCGATTCTGAAATCCAGACAGCTCAGAAAACCACAGGCTTTTGGGTAAGTTTGTGGCAAACCCATCTGGCACAAAACTGACTTGAGGCCGCTTACAGGGCTTACAGCAGTGAGACGAGTTTGGATCTCCCTGCAGGAACGCCGACAGGGTTGTTCTGCAGCCGTCTCGCCCAGCCCCCACGGGAGCACCTGTTGAACAGGAGGAGATTTGGATGGTGTCACCACCACCACCGCCGGTGACACCGGTGTTGTCTTTACAGAACGGACATGAAGCTGACCTACCTAAGAGTTTGGGGTAAGGATGAAGCCTGCTCCTGGGGGGTCATGGAGGGCACAGGCACAGTGCTGTGCACAGAGTAGCCTTGTCATAATCGGGGAGCTGGTGCGCAGCAGGGGTCGAGGGTCTGAGCCGGTCAGAGGGAGGTAGGGGGTACCAGGCGCTGGTCCCCTGCTGGCGGGAATGTAAATGGCACGGCCACTGGGAAAACTGGCAGCTTCTCTAGCAGTGAAATGTCCAAGGACCACGGGATCCCGCCATTTCCCGCCCACGAATTAACTTGAGAGAAAGGGAGGGATGTGTCTTTGCGAGGACTTGTGCTGTTGCTCATAGCACTTTATTTAGTCCCCCGAAACAGAAAGCAACTCAAACATCTGTCAACAGACGAACAGAAGAACAAGTCCGTGGTGTCTGCATACAACGGAGCTCCTGGTAACGTGGACGGACCTCCATCACGCGGAGCTGAAAAAGCCAGACAAGCAAAGAGCTCGTACTGTTCACGGCCATTCAGACAACATCCTGCAACGTGCTGACACATCTGTAGCCACAGAAAAGAGGTCAGTGTTGTGTCGTGACGGGGCTGGGGTGCCAGGAAGCTTTGGGAGGCGATGGGTCTTATCTGTGATGATGGTTCGAGAGCTGTGTGCATATGCAGAACTCAGCCACCGAACATTGTTGTTGTTGTTCACATGTCCATATAAATTTTATTTATTAATTAGCTTCAGGTGTTCAGCACAGTGTACCACCGTTCACTTTAACACGCGGGGCTTGTGCATCAACCGTGCTTCCCTATAGCCGTTGTTTAAAAGGCAAAACAAATAAGACTCATTGGTCAGTCTTACATTATAGTGTTAAAAGTCCTCTTGCAAACAACCCTTTGTTGCAGCGATTCTGGTGGGAAGTGGCCTGAAGCCACCCAGTCAGCCCTGGGGTTCTGCCCCAGGGGACAGCTGGCCATGTCTGGTGACGTTTTGTGGGGAGAGCAGAACCCTGTGGGGTTAGGATTCCTTTAACCCTGGACCCACTGCCTGTAAGTGGAGAAAGCAGCCACCAGGGGGCGTACTGTGACAGATACACACACACACACAGACACACACACACACACACACACACACCCCCCCCCTCCACCCCCCCCCGACCCCACCCCCCATTTCTGGAAGAAGCTTTAAGAAGTGAAGTCATGTATGAGCGAGATTAGCAGGCTTCCCCACACTATCCTACTTAAAAAAAAAATCAGAAACAGCCAAACAAACCACCGTCAAAAACATACATTAAGGCCTCTCTGGCACTGGCCAGCAGTGGCCGGCTAGGGTCCGACTGAGACAGGAGACTGAACACGATTCTCACTGCAGCCTTGCTAGTCAGTGATAACTGCAGACGAGCCGGATGCCCATCATTAAAGTGTCAGCAGTTCTCCTCAAACGTTACAGTGCGTGGACTCGCCTGGGGAGCTTATTAAAATGCAGAGGCAGGTCCCGTAGGCCCGCGGAGTGCCCACGCTGCACAGGGAGGCTGTCGGTTCCCCAGCTGGACTGCAGGTGGCTTCAACCAGAGAGCTGTGTGCTATGCTTCTCGGTCCCCGAGCCCACCAGCTGGGAGGGGCCAGGGCTGGTCCCCGCTCCTTCCATCCTTCGTCTGCGTGGGTTAAGACGGCTCCCTCCTGCAGTTGCATCCTAGCCCACAAGAAGAGACATGTTTGCAGGTACTGTTTACGGGGAAAAAACCCAGGGCAGTGCAAGTGCAATTGTCCTGCACCTAAGAAGAGAAAAGAAAGAAAAAAGAAGGGCAGAATCTTACAAAAGACAACCTAGACATTTTATGTCTTAAGAACTCAGCTTGGTAACTGTCAAGTTAGAAGCTCCAAGATACAGCCAGATAAGGACATGGGCTGAATTCCACTTATGGGGAAGACCCTGTGAACGTGCTGCCGCCCTCAAGGAAATTACAACCTAAAACTACAGCGGCAGTTATGCTGGTTAGATGAGCATACTCTAGATTGAAAAGCATGGGCTTCCGAATCGAATAAACAGGAGGAGATGCCTCTTTGTAAATATTAATAAGAGTGAAACAGAGAGATAAGAGAGTTAGTTACAGGGCCCTTTCCACAGGCAGAAATCTTTAGAAGTTTAACAAAATTGAGGATAAATAAGACAGACACATGGGGTTAAGACAGGTTCTAGAACAGCTCCACTCCTGCTCATCCCCCAAATTACAGAGCCCCAAACAAGTGTGGAGTAGCTTAAAAACCTGGAAGGCAGAGGTGACAGTGAGAAACCTGACCAGGCACCACTGGGGGCAGCAGTCAGGCGGGTTCAGCCAGGTAAACAGAGCCAGGGTCTCCTGGCTTGACTCCCCTCCTGGGGGCCCCACGCCTTTTAAATCGAGAGTGGGCAAAACAGTCAGGGGATAGAGAAGAGAAATTTCAGGACTCCTCGATGTGGAAATGCATGAACTGTGGTACCCAAACCCCCCGGGGAAGCTACGATTAGATTCAAAGAATAGAGAAGTGTAAGGATCGCTAAGATCATGAAAACTGGAATGTTTAAACAAGCTTTCTCTACAGAAGTTATGTCGGCTTCATCTGAAAGTTTCCTGGGAGTGATACCAGGCCTGGCTGTGCACACTTCTCCTACCAGGATTGTAAAGCCAGGACCTGTCGACGGGCCTAACGGAGGCAACGTCTCAGAAGGTAAGCGCGGATGGAATTCAGGTCACCGGCTATGGCAGGTTTGGAACAGGATTTGTGTGAGGTGGCTATGCCTCCCGTACCTGGTGTCCTGGGAAGCGGACACTGCATCTTGCTGGGAACTGCAGGCTGCTGGTCATTTTCTTGGCCGTCAGAGGGGGTAAACGGGAGGTGATGACTTTGTTTAACATGGCCATAAACATTTACTGTTTGTCCCAGCTGAAATATGACATGATGTTTGAACGGATTTAATAATAACTTTTGATCAGAAATTTGACAAAATTGGAAGCTAGAGATTCTGGTCTTTTCTAACCTGACCTCCTGCAGCTTGAACACGCCAAACAAATTCTAATAGACAAAAAAAAAAAAAAAAAAAGATTCACGAGCCTGATAGTTTTTTGTTTGATTTTTTTTTAGCTGAGCCATCCTGCCACCTGTTGGCAGCTCAGCAGCAGCTCAGCTCAGGCCTGTGTGGGAATCGAACCGGTGACCCTGTTGCTCAGAGCTTGTGCTCTTAAGCCAACTCTTAACCAACTGAGCCACTCGGCCGGCCCACAAACAAATTAGTCTTAACTTTGCCCTCTTTGGTGAAAACTGGGTGATTTTCGAGAAATGAATTATGTTTTGGCCGTACACCTCTGTGACGATTAGTCTCGTGCTGTTTGTGGGCGCCTGAGGTTTTGCTCCCACCTGTACACGGGACTGGGTCCCAAGTTCTCCTCGTTCCCTCCGATGTCTGGCTGCGACTCCCCAAACGAGCCTCCCCAGTGCTCCTCCCACCCGTTGACGTGGAATCACAGAACTAAAATGGCCCTTCCCCAAAGCCATGCCAGCTAAATTTACGAGACAGTCTCTGCCAGAAGAGCTGAAATTGTCGTGAACACAAGGACGCACATTTATCGAGCGCTTACAGGGTGAAACTGCGGTTTTCTGGAACGAGCTCCCTGGAGCCTGACCCAACCGTGGGGAGGTGCCGTCACTTCTCCTGGTTTCACAGACAAAGCAGGTTCGGGGAGGGGACGTGACTCGCTCAGGGTCACACACTTCGCGGAGTCTAACAGAAGTGGCGTTTCTGCTCCGCGCGGCTGGAGGTTAAGGATGCGTTATGTGTGTGTTTCCTGCACGAAGGGATGAGGCTCTGTGTCCCCCGAGCCGACTGCAGGGTCCTGACCGCAGAGCCTTCCCAGTGCGTGTCTAATATGCTGACATGACTGTTCTAGAAAGGCTGTCAGGAGACACCCAGTGACGGCGTGACTTAAGGGAAGTCCTTTCTGTCTCGTGGTTCAGGCCACGGCAGGCCTCACCCGGACCCCAGGCTGCCGACAACACTGTCTCCCACACGTGGCCTCCAAGGCCGTTCTGGGGGTCACCATCTGACCGGCGGGAAGGCAGGCAAGAGAGGGGGCTCACGGCCCAGTGCTCCCTCATAAGCCAGGGGCAGCAGTCGCCTAGACCACAGCCGCTGTGACCTGAGGAGCTGGCTGCACCCAGCCTCATGTGGGGCTGGCCGGATCCTCCTCAGAAGGAACCAGGTCACGTGCTGCTGGCCGGCCCCCACCTCAGATCGTTCTCTAATTTCATCTTTACGACAACTCGAACTGTGTGACGGGTGGGGACACAGGCACCCGGCAGGAAGGGACCTGCTGAAAGCCACAACGTTAGTGGAGCCAGGATGTCAGCGGACATTGCAGGCAGAGCCCGGCACCCATCGCCACAGCCCCACGCGGGGACCCCATGATGTCAATGACGATGGACCCCGGCAAGAAGCCTCTGGTGGCCCAGACGCATGCTGGTGTTAGTTTGGGTCGAGGTGGCTTTCCCAGCACCCGGTTCCACTTGAATAATCTCCAAGTCGGTGGAAGTCACGCTCCAAACTTCACCCTCCCGGTCACGGATGACCTGCTGCTGAAGTGTTTAGTGGTTAATGAAAACGGAACCCTGGCTCACCCATTAACCACCCGCTCCACACCTGCAGCCACAAGGGGCGTTGCCGGGGAGGCTGCATCCCCAGAACCCACCTTCGCACACGCTGCATGGCTTCACATGTGCTCGGACTCCGGGCAGGATTTTCCCCCGACGGACGGGTTCCCATCAGGTTTGTCTCAGAGCAGATGTTCCCCAGCTCGTTGGTGTCGGGGCCCCCCCGGTACCCCGCAAGGAAGGCCTCCTGTCATCCGGTGACGTGGGTTCCGTCTGTAGGTATTTACCAAGTTAGACATTTAAACAAAGAAACAACGATATTGATCCATTTTAAAAGAACAGTAACTGACCCCTCGCGTGTTAAACATGTTTATGAAAAACGACAGTCTTTTCCCAAAAGATTTAGTGAGAAGAGTGGCATTGTACAGGTTTGCAAATCTCTTTAATGTCTGGTTTAACAGAAGACAGTGGGACCCTGACATCTGCGTCTGCACGTGGCCTTTTGTGACATTTCATGTCCTGTGGCCTCTGGAAAATTCCAGTGGACATTCGTGAAATAATGAGAGAAAAAGGAAAACATCTTAGGATTCTGAGGACTGCTACATGGGTCACTTCCCCAAGCCTCCCTGATAAAGTTGCTCAGTATTGTGATGGTTACACCCCCTTTTTCAGGTGAGAAAATCTGGGCTTGGAGCACGTGAGTCACTCACATGAGAACGCCCAGGGAGGCTCAGACAAGTGGGGGTGGGGTTGGGGTCTGCCTGCCCCCCACCCTGCTCTTAACTCCGCTGTGTCCTGAGGCTGCCGTGGGGGCAAGGCCACCCAGGTGCGTGGGGACCGTGACTCGGAACGGGGAACCCCTTAAAAAAAACGAGGAGAAAAAAGGCACAGCCTTCGTGTTTGCAGCCACCATAAAGAGAGAGAAGAAGGCTTGACATTCCCAGTGACAACTCAGTGCAGTAACTCAGGGGCTCGGTGTGGGGAGACAGAAGGAGCCTACGGGACCAGGTGCTTCCTCGAGCATCCCTGAGCCCTCACTTGTCCCCTGCAGGTGGCATTAAGGAACTGAAGCCCAGAGTGGCTGCGTGACTTGCCTGGGTCTCACAGTGACGAGGTCAAAAAATGTGTCTTGTTCTCCTCCCACGCTGGGCTCTCGTCCCCCCTCGCCTGCTGGTTGGGAAAACTCACCTACGTTGTCAGAGGGTACGGTTTGCTCTCTTCAGCTGTTGCAGGCAGCCACATTGCAGGGGGCGTGTGTGGGTGCGTGATGGTGTGTTTCTAAAAGACTAGACAATTCGGGGTAACACCACCTCCCACAGAGCTCAGCTTGGATTCCAGACCGGGAGGGGTGTGAGCTGTGGACACAGGCTGACACCCCAGCAATCCTCGGACACCAGCTGGGGTCCTATGATTCCACTCACTCCTGGCCACTCGCTCCTGGCCCTATCTACCTGGAGGCAGTGTCAAGTCCCCCAGGGTGAGGGCTCAGCCCTACAAGACTGTCCCCACTTGAGATGCCTGGCTTTTGTCTGGGAGCCCCGGAAAGGGGGCTGAACTGACAGTGGTCCCTGTCACTGCCGCTGAGGCAGTCGGGCTGCAAGTGCTCTCCTGGGACTTCCCTCTGTCCCCTGCCGCCCCCGCCTGCGTCTCTCCTCCCCCTTCCTCCAGCTGTCCCAAGCTCGCCTGTCCCCAGAGTGGAGGCGGGCCAGTGGCAGAGTGGGTGAGTGAAGCAGGAGGCCCTGGGCCCCAGTGCCCTCCCCATCCCCCCGCCATGTCCCGCACCCATCAGGTGAGGGCCCCATGGAGGCCGTGGGTGGAGCACAGGGGCCTGCCTTGAGTTCAAGTTCAAGGGTTCGGGGCTGGGTCCGGCCTCTCCTCTGTCCCTGGAAGATCATTCTCACTTTTTCTAATCCCAGCCGCATCCTGGAATTTGGAGTTTGACCTGCAAGAAAGTTCTGTCAGCAGCAGGCAGTGCAGGAGGGAGGCCGCCACTGTCCTCCAGCTCGGGCAGCAAGCAACAGGGGCCCAGGTGTCCCCTTCCCCACAGCCGCCCCTGCTGCCGCCTTCTGCCTCAGAGACACCGACAGGCTCCAGGACAGGTGGGCCCTGCGCCCAGGAAGGTAAGACTCCCCCTCCAATGCTGACTCTCCAAACTGGGAAACTGGCCAGGGCTGGACCTGTGCTGGCAGGAGAGGCTCCAGCTGTGAGTCTGGAGGGTGGGGAGGGCACAGGAGGCCCCCCCTGGCTCAGAAAAGCCTTGTCAGCGCCAGGCACATGGGCGTGTTTTGAGTGTGGGGCGGGGGTGGGTGCGGCCCAGCCAGCAGCAGCAGCCACGGGTCCCGCTCTCTCCCCTCACTAAGTTCAGCGACCCTGGCTGAGCCTCGGGTCCCTTATCTGTCAGCTGGAAAGGTGAACCTCATCCCCGCCCAGCCCACAGGTGAGGTGTACACACGGAGACCCAGCGAGATAAGGCATTTGAATTGCCATCAGCAACAAAGCCTTAGGGGCTGTAGCACTGGCCAAGGCTGCTGTGAACTGCGCAGCAAGGAGGCGTCTTCGCTGGTCCTGTGGGGCCGTCTGTCCAGCTGGCACAGCCACCGCAATTCAGGCGCGGCCTGGGAGCTCTTCAGAGACTCGCCCACGGTCTGCACCCGGTGAGTGGCGGAGCTGCGACTCGGCTCCCAGGCCGTGAGCTGAACCCCCACATCTGGGAAGCAGCTGGGACAGGGTCCCCCAAAGAGCGTCCTGGGGATGAGACTTTGGGGGGTCGCTGTGTGCGGGGTAGCGGCCAAGGCAGTCGCTTGGTGCACAAGGTTTACCGGTGCCTCCAGTGACAGCAGAATTCAGCCGCATCAGTCTGAGAGCCCATTGGCTCTGCTGAGCGATGCGTGACCGGGCAGCCCCCCATCCAGCAGCCAGAAGGTCGCGCAGGGCCAGGTTCCCACAGGCTGAAGGGGCGGGGCGGAGAAGTGAGCCGAGCGGCCTAGTTCAGGCAGGTCACAGTCCCCTAGGGGAGGCAGGGGGTCTTACCAAGCAGATGACCTCACGAGGCTTTAAAATTCCACTCCTGGGAGGGGCTGAAGCTGCAGTTGGGTTCCTTGTTGCGGTTTTGGTTTGGGGACGTGGCTGAGTGAAAGTGACTGATTTTGGCCCCATGTTTCTCTTTTTTAACACTGCTTTGGGGACACGATGTGAACGAGACGCAGTGGTGCTCGCCCTCGCTTGCTGTGCTTGGGGACAGGCAGTGGGAGGCACACAGACCGATGTCACGCATGACTCAGCCGTGGTCAGAAGTCATGTGTGTTCTGACGACAACTTAAGGACCCAGTTTAGGTTGAGGCAAAGAGAAGGATTCCTTGGGATGTGACAGTCGGGTGCTGTCTAAGGGAAGAGGAGGACTTGGTCAAGGCAGAGTATAGGGAAGAGCATTTCAGGAAGAGGGGACAGAAAGGCCAAGACCCTGAGGCCAGCGATCGTGCTCAGAGGACAGAAGGAGGCCCGTGTGAGACGAGGCTGGGCCTCGGAGAAGCTGCAGGCGGGAAAGTGGTCCGCTCGCGGCCAGAGCTGTCCTGCCGTCCAGGCCAGAGGCCAGGGCCCAGGGCCCCCAGAAGGATGCAGGAGGGGTGTCTGGAGACAGGGCAGGGCAGGAGGCAGCTGGGATGAAGGCCAGAGAGGTAAGGGGAGGGGCAGCGGGCAGGACAGCTATGCGCTGCAAGTCCTGCCCTAGAACGGGGTTAGGGGTCAGTAGATTCTGTGGTTGAGACAGAGACATGAGCCACGTTGGTGGCATGTGCAGCCCGTGGCACAGACGCTGACCCAGAGGGGGTGCTCACAGGCCGGGGGCGAGTGAGTGGGCAGCCTGCATCTCTGGCGTGAGCAGCAGGGTGGGTGCAGTTGCCGTTCAGGGAGCCGGGAGGACTGGGGGCTGCTGGCGGCCGTGGGCGCCGACGGGGATGAGTCCAGGTGGCGGTGCTGCTCGGCCGTCCCCGAGCGATGCCACGTCGGCTTGTGGACAGACAGGCCTGGGGCTGCCGTCTGTTCTCTGCAGGAATCATGAAACCAGGTCGCCGCTGAAGGGACGGGACGGGACGGGTGGAGGAGAACGGCCACTGGGTCACCCTGTGTGGTGACCTTCGTGGGCATTTGGGGAAAGCTTCCCACCTCTTGTGCTGGGAGTTTCCTAAATAGCAGAGCTGCGCTCTTCCTAGCGTCTGGGGATGGCCCGGCCTCTGCTTCCGCCCACAGTGCCCAGAATCTGTCCTCTGGGCCTTTTTCTGGAGTCCTGCCCTGAATGAGCCGTAGCACCAGCTGGGGGCCCGGCCACACATGGCCCTTGGGCCTCTCCCTGTGGCTCGAGGCCCCGTGGCTGCTCTGCCTCACACACTGGACCCCTCCCTCCACCAGCAGCCGCTCTGGGCATCCCTGACAAGAGCTGGTCAGAAGCCGGGCTTGTGGCTGTGACGGGGGCAGCTACCTCCATAGCAGGCGCCATAGAGCAGTGGCTGGAAAGGGTGTGAGCGGACGCCACCTGGGAGGTGCAGGCTGTGCCAGGCTCATCATCGCCCTGGAATTCATCTGCCAAAGGTCCACGTGCCGGGTGGGGTTAGGACCTCGCGGGTCAGTCATTTACCAGCGGTGTGACCTTGGGCCTGGGCCTCAGCTTTGTTCTCCATGACTGACCTCCTAGGGGTGCTGTGTGCTGCACGTGAGCTGTGCTCACGTAGGTGGGGCTGGCATCAGCCTGACCACAAAGTCCACGCCCTGTTGTTGTTTTAATGGTTTTAGAAGAAGAACCAAGGATTCTAGAACTAATCACGTTATGCAGTGAAGGTGCTCAAACCTGGGACACATGTCTGGCCATTGTCCCCATTTCATAGACGGGGAGCCTCAGGTGGCTTATTTGCCCAAGAATCTGGTAGAGACGGTGATGGCATTTGAACTGGATGGTGCGGTCCTGACGTCCCCATGCCCCGTCACCACACAGCTCCTCCTCGGAGGGCGTTCTGCCTGTGGCTAAAGCTGGTCACTCGATGGTCACTGTGGCCTGTGGTTGGTGCAGGCCTCTTGCCTAGGTTCTCTGTCCCCGTCTCTGCGCCTGTCCCATCCTTTGTCCCTGCTGACGCGTTTGCTAGTCAGCAGCAGCTGTGCCCGCGTCCTAGCCGAATACTTGACAGCTTTGTGGGTTTGAATGTGTTGAATATACACGGATGGCTTTATGCCATCAATCTTGTTCCGTTACTTACTTTTTCTTTCGTTATGAAATGTTTCTGATGCACAAAAGTTATAAAGAAGAATGCACTCCCCACCCCACCCCCCAGCGGACGCACACACAGGAGTGAATGCTGTCACAGCGCCCGCCCCTGGGCTGTGGAAAATTCCCACATCTGCAAACGGAAGAGGGTGACGGCCTCCCGGCGGTTTGGCTTCCTTTTGTCCTTTGGCCGGTCGTTGCCAGACCCACGGGCAGGGCGCTCTTGCAAACAAACCCATTGTTACCAGGGACGGTCCCTCACAGGAGGCCAAGCAGGACCCACCCAACCTGCCCTCCTGGGGCAGCGCCAGGGCCCAGGGCGCCGGGGGCCATTTCATAGCGCAGCTCTGGACACACACGGTGCCCACGAGGGCGGGGGCCGGGTCTATCCCCTCACCACTTTGTCTCGGTGCCTCGCACAGAGCCTGACACACAGCTGATGCCTAATAGGTGTTTATGGAAAAGAAACAGAGACAGGGAGCAAAGGAGTGAAGCAGAGGAGAGAAAGAGGAAGAGAGGGAGGAAGGGGAGAGGAAGGCGGACCAGCCAGTATGGACCCGGGCTGGAATCCCACCTGTGCCGCTAACTGTGACCTGGAAGCCAGTGGCACAGACGGGACCTGAGCCAGCTCACTTTCCCCTCTTCGTGCCTCGTTTCCCGCCTGTGGAACCGAGGTGTGAGGTTTGCCTTGCCGGCAGGTGACGGTGAGGAGGACGAGTGTGACATGAGCTCCATGCGTGGCACTTTGGTAAATGGTGCCCATGGATTTGCCGAACAAGGGGCACCTGTGAGGTGGCCACCACGTGGCCGAGGTGGCAGAACTTAGGCTCCATGGCTTTTCCGGTCCGTGCCTCACCGTGGAGACGCGGCCGGGCCCTCCGGGCCCCTGGCAGGGCCCCCACCTCCGAGGACCCAGGAAGAGCTTGAGGCTGGTGCCAGCCTGCCTGGCGCGGTGATGAATAAGCTGTTTATCTGCTCCCACCCTCTCGGTGCCAGGCAGGCAGAGGCCTGGAAGGGGCAGCGGGGGCGCAGCTGGGGACAGGAGGGCTGGCTCGCCAGCTGCCCGCCGCCATCCTCCCTCCTTCCACCCCCTCCTCCCTCTTAGACCTGCAGGTTCTAGAACAGTCTGCCCCGCTCCCCAGCTCAGCATCAGTCTCCACCGTAAGCTGCTTCCTGCGCCCCTCGTCCTCATCATCCCTAACGTCCCCTGTTTTGGAAGCAGCAGGTTGAAGCATTTGAAAATGCAGGCTCTGAAGTCAGGCGCTGGGTTCGAGTCTCAGCTCTGCCGCTCGTCAGCCGCGGGCCGCCGCCTCCTTGCTTGTGAGGAGCAGTAAGAACATACCTAAGAGGGGCTTGCTTCACCCTCGAGACCCTCCAGGACCCTCCAGCGTCCTCCCCGCGTCTCCAGAGCTGCCTCTCCCCGTTAGACCCCAGAAAGCCCCAGAGCTGCAGCGTCTGCCCCCTTCCCACCCTCTCCCTGTGCGAGCTCTCAGGCTCCATGAGCCCGGAGCGGGTTCGTGTCATCCCATTCTACAGGCGACTGAGGCTGGGGGGACCGGGGGTTGGGGGTCTGGGCTGGAATTCGGGCTTCCAGCCAGCACTCTGGCCTTAGAGCAGGGGAGGAGCCCAGCACTGGCACGTTTGTCTTCCCTCCTCCCCGCTGTCTTCTTTCTGTCCTTTGCCACAAATGTTCTGGCTCAACAGTGGCTGGGACATGGCCACCGCGTCCCGGGTCTGAGATGCTGTGAGCACCCCCCCAGCAGAACAAGAGCAAGGCCCAGGCCAGGGAGACGCACTCAGAGCTCTCGCGGGCCTGGGAAGGGAACGTAGGCTCACTGAGCCCCCGAGGCCTCATCTCTGAGTGAACAGCCAGCCTCTTGTAAACCTCTGCGTTCGTTCTCAACTCGGGGACGTTGGTGTCTGTCAGCTGAGGGGAGGGCGCTGCTGTTGTGAAAGCCACGTGTTTTCAGTGGGTCTCCCAGGCTAGGAGACCGCAGGGCCAAATTCCTTCTGGAGGCTCCAGGGAGAAGCTCTTCGTTTGCTTTTTCTGGTTTCTAGCCACCACCTGCATTCCTTGGCTCGTGGCCCTATCACTGCATCTGTAAAGGCAGCGACACCGGTGGGCTTTCCCTGCGAGGTCTGATTTCCTTCCCGCTTCTAAGGACCCCTGTGAAGGCACTGGTGCCACTCAGGTGGTCAGGACAATCTTCCTGTTTTACGGAGAGCTGACTGGCGGCCTTAATTCCATCTGCCGATTTACGTGCTCTTTTCCATGCAAGTTCATATCCATAGGTTCCCGGGATAAGGATGTAAACATCATTAGGGGGACGCAGCTGTGCCCACCCCAGGAACCCCCCTGAGCACAGCTTAGAGCACAGTTCCAAATGTGGATTCCAGGGCCAGGTTTGCCTTTGCTCTCAGCTCTGTCTACCTTGGGCAAGTTAGCTAATGTCTCTATGCCTCAATTTTGCCGACTGCGACATGATACAATAACAATAGTTCCCGCTCTGCAGGCTTGTAAAGCCTTGGAATGATGCCTGGCGTGTAGTAGGCATTATGTAGACACTTATTAAAAACATACAAATCTGTGGGCCTGTCCGGGATTGGAACCGGTTCTGCCTGGCCGAGCCTCCCACAAAATCATTGGCTTGGCCTGCACCCAGCTGTGAGGTGCAGGGACCCAGAGGCGGGTGTCCTGTTTCTCCCTCATGCCCGGACATGTGCTTATTAAGTGGGAGAGGGGTGAAACCATCTATGCTATGTGCATACTTCTTCAGATTTTATCAAATGAGTGAGTGCACTGGTAGAAACCAGCTATGGAGTTGATGTCACTTCCCTGTAAATATTGACTGAGCGAAGGAGGGAACGGCTGGGTGGATGACTCTACCCGCAGACCTGTCTCCATTGCACACGCCTCCACGTGTGTCGTCTTGCGCGGCTTTCCCAGGCGGCGCCTCGGAGAGGGTGAGAAGGGTGGTCGGGCGTCTGACTCACATCCCCTTCCACAGGCCCGAGGGTCTCAGCACCATGGACAGCGGCCCCAGCAGCCCCCCACCCACACACTCTGATCCCCTGGAGGCATTTCCCCAGAGGAGCCTGGAGGCAGGTGACATCGCAGTGCTGGTTCTCTACTTCGTCTTCGTCCTCGCCGTGGGACTCTGGGTAAGCCAGGCCAGAGGGAGGCGGGAGGGGACACACTGTCTCAGGGTCACGCAGCGATCAGAACCTCCCAGGGCTCGCTGTGTCGGGTGCTGTGCTGGGTGCTTGCATTCATGTTACCTCCTGGAACTTGTACAGGTCCTCGTGAAGAAGGTACGGAATCTTTTTTTCGTTTTTTCCCTTTAACCTTTATGTCGTAATTACGTGTTTAACACCCTGTTCTGAGATGGAGCGGCAAGTTTCTGCTTCTGTCTGTTAAAGTCTTGTGTCCCTTTGTCCGTTTGTTTCCGATAGAAGAGCCCCTCTCAACCTTTCCTTGCAGTGCAGGACTTGTGGTGATAAGCCTCCTCAGCTTTTGTTTGTGCGGGAAGCCTTTGCCACCCTTCACGTGTGAAGGGTAACTTTGCTTTCTACGGATGTACTATTCTTGGCTGGTGGCTTCCATCTGTCGTGTGTTGACTCTGTCTTCCCTCTCTCCCTGGCCTGTAGGGTTTCTGCTGAGAAAACCAATGATAACCTGATGGGCTTCCGAGTAGGTTACTTTTAGCCCCTGGCAGCCTTGAGAATTGTTTCTTTGTCATAAACTTTGGACAATCTTAATATAATGTGTCTTGGAGAAGGTCTTTTTATGCTGAGATAATTAGGTGTTCTGTTAGCTTCTTGTCCTTGAACGTCCAGTTTCTTCTCTAGGTTTGGGAAGTTCTCATTAGTTATTTAAGTCAGATAGTTCTTGTAGGGTTCTTTTATTTAAAAACAAGACAAAAACAAAAAACAAAAAAAACTTTAGCCATCTGTCTCCTTCCCCCTGAATCATTTCTAGATTTCTGTCTTTCAGTTCACGGATTCTCTCTTCCACGTGGTCTGCTATATTTCCAGTGCGCTCTAATGCATTTTCCATCTCATTTATTGAGTTCTCCAGCATTTCTGTTTGATTCTCTTTTAGTTTCAATCTCTTTGTACTCTTCCTTTGATTAATTTTATTCCTGAGCTCATTGAACTGCCTTTCTGAGTTTTCTTGTATCTCGTTGAATTTCTTCATGCCTGCTATTTTGAATTCTCTATCATTTAGATCCCAATCATCTGTGACTTTGAGTTTGGTTTCTGGACAAATGTCATTTTCTCTATGTGTTGCCATGTCATCTTGGTTGTTCTTGCTGCTGGACGGGTTGTTCCTCTGCCGGTGCATTTGAAGCAGTGGACACTTTTCTTATTCAAGCACCTTTTAACTTTAACAGTTCAGCGGGGTGATAATTAGAGGTCCTGTCTTTTGTTTTCCAGCAGGTGGTGCTGCAGTGCAAGTTTTTGTTTTACCTGAGTTTCTTGTGCATCGGTGTGGGTGGTGGTGGGGGGGGGTGCCCCTGTGGTCGTGGAAGTCACTGCCTGGGTGACAGAGGTGGCGGGTGTCCCCACTGTCCTGGTTGGCTGGTCTCAGGGCACCACCGCCATCACGGTGGGGCATGTGGCCGGCTGGGACGAGCCAGGTTCATGGGCCCACCTCGCTGTTACCTGACTTTTTATGGCCGTCGGTACCACTGGGCTACAGCTGGGAGGCCATAAATCTTCTGAAAAACTACAAATCAAACCAAATGTATTTGATGTCCCACTTTGTAGCCTGCGGCCAAGGCCGCCTCGGGCTGCCTCTGCTGGTCGATGTTTCCCTCACGCTCTGGCCTTCTTTTGTTTCAGTCCACAGTGAAGACCAAGAGAGACACAGTGAAGGGCTACTTCCTGGCCGGAGGCGACATGGTGTGGTGGCCAGTAAGTGGGTCAACTAATGTCACTTGTGCAAGAATTTTTAGCTGCTGGTGTTCTGTCTAGTGTTTCCTATCTTAGGGCTCTTTAGCTGCATGTGCTGTGGGAGTCACAGTCTAAACTAGAGAAGGCTTAGCTCCAACTCAAATGTATTTAATCAAGAAGAGAATTTCTCAGCTCACTTAAGGGAAGAGCTAAGGTTGGCTGGTTTCAGGAATGGCTGAGTCCAGGGGCTCAAATGATAATTATTAAGACCTGGTTTTCCCCTCTATTTATTCTTTCTGTATCTACCTACCTACCTATCCATCCATCCCTTCTTCTGGACGGAAGCTTTTCCCAAATGGGCCCAACGTCATGTCAAAAAGACAGTTTGAGACCCTGCATTCTCTCAAGCTGCAGCCCAGCATGGGAGACCACCTGCCTCCAGGGCAACCTCCCTGGAAAACCTCTCAGCTCCGATGTCCCATGCCCATCCGGTGCCAATCATTGTGCCCAGGGAGGTTTGATGTGCTGACTGGCTCAAGCCTGGGTCACACGCTCCAAGCCTAAGCTGGGTGGTGGGCACCCTCCCCTGAGGCATGTGATGAGAAGTGAGAGGGCTAGGGCCTAACGGAGAAGTGAAGGCCTTTCCGGTATTGTATTTTCAAGTGGGTCTCAGGGTATTGGCGCGCACACGCACATGCATGTGCACACACACACGCACGCATGCACACATGCACATGCACACGCACGCACACACATATGCACACAAACACGCACGTGCACGCACGCACACACTCATGCACGTGCATGCACACCCACGCGCGCGCACGTGCATGTGCACATGCGCTCGCACACACACACGTGCATGCACAGGCCTCTACTTCATGGACCCTGGGTATGTGGTTGGGGATAATGGTTTTACTATTAACCCCCAAAACACCACAGGCCCCCTGATTCTCATCTTGAAGCACTTCCTACAACACCTGTCATCCTTCCCTCCAGGGACGCTGCATACAGTTGTTCACGTCATACACTGCACAATCCAAGGGATCACAATTCAGATTTTAGGCATCACAGATATGCATGTTTATTATGCTAGTTTCTGATAGGCAGAAGTAAAGGAGTCTCGGGGAAGGAGAATCTTTTTCTAATTTGAAAAAGGTGCCAGACAGGCGAGGAATAGCTGTCTTCCCTTCTTTTGTCTTTGTCCCTTTGGAGTGTGGGAAGAACTGGGGGTGGGGAGAAGGCACCCCAAACCTTGGCTGCAACATATGACCTGTCTGTCTCTCCACAGGTAGGTGCCTCCTTGTTTGCCAGCAACATTGGAAGTGGACATTTCGTTGGCCTAGCAGGCTCGGGCGCCGCTGCGGGCATTTCTGTAGCTGCTTATGAATTTATTGTGAGTATGTGGCCAGGTCACCCTCTCCCTGACGGGCAGAGCCTGGGGGACAGCTATGGGAGTGCCCTGCGCTGTCCAAATGAGCGACACTTTCTGAAAAAGCAAACAGGAAGCACTAGCACCCCTGGTCAGCACGAATCAGTTTGACCTGCCCGGCTGCGCTGGAGGGGGACCCATAGGCCAGGAGCCCAGCAAGCAGGGGTGTGGGGAGAGGGCTCAGGGCCCCACTGCTGGGTGCAGAAGGCAGAAGGCGTGCTGGGACTGGAAGGTATTTCTGTGTGGTAGATGCCAATTGGCCGTCACAAAGATTACGTGGTTCAGTGGCTCTTGACCTTTCGGCCACCCCACAGACACCCAAGAGATGGGACACACTGTCCAGTGTAGCAGGGGTCATTCAGTATGCAATCTTCAGAGGGGGAGGGGACGCACTTATCAAGTGATCATCATCTTCACGATAACTAACTTTTTAGTACTTACTCTGCACCAGACTTAGGTGCGTTACATCCATTATAATGTTACGGGGTTTCACGACCGACTAGAACGAGCTGTGTGACCATGGGCCAGTGGCTTACCCTCTCTGAGCCTCATGTGTAAAATAGGCACAATGGCAGTGTGCCTGCCCCCTGGAGTCACTGTGAGGATTAAAGGAAGTGGCACCTGTGAAAGGGGCAGAGGGGGAGCATCCTATGACGGGGTTTCCACAGCGACCCAGGGAAGCTCTGCCGCTCCCTCTCGCTTCACAGCCCTGTGTGCCGTCGCCCACCGGCCGCAGCCTTGTTCTAACCACTATCCCCCGTGGCAGTGGGGACCCCTGGTCTCGGGGCTGGCGCAGGTGTAGGAGGTGCTGAGCTAGGAGTCGCAGAGAAGCTTCTGTTTTCAGTCATCCCTCCTCCATCCCGTCTCCCATTTGAACATGGACACATGACGGCAGCGGGAGATGGACTGAGCGGCACTGGCCGCGGGTTACCTGGGGCGCTGGCCGCCCGCGGGCAGCTGGTGGGGGCGGGGCCGGGGCCGACTGTGTCTCTCCTGCAGGGTTTGTTTTCCGTGCTGACCCTGGCCTGGATCTTCCTCCCCATCTACATCGCAGGGCAGGTGAGTCGCACGCGTCTGCCCGCCCCCTCCGCCCGCGCACACCCATGGGAGAGCCCCTCTGAGGTCCCAGCACTGGAGGGACGATGCGCCAGGGAGACAGTTAGGAACCTTGTCCCTAGTGGTCCCCACCTGGTAACAGACGTCAGAGACACGCATGGGGTTTTCGGAGGCTGGAAGAGCTGGGCTCAGAAAGGTTTTTTTGTAAAACGCCAAAACACAAACATAAAACGCAGCATGGCTTCCGTGTCTAACAACACGTTACTGCCTTTAACTAAAAAGAAGAAAAAAATTAAAAATATGACTCAGTGATATTTTTCCTTCTTTTGCTACAAAACGATAATTATTTCTGGCTGATGTGAAATATCATAATTTTTGTTACCAAATAATGCTGCTTTAGTCTTTTTGAAAAAGTAATTTTAAAAAACTTTTCCGATCTTATGGACAGCTTTCAGTCACCTGTACTCTCCAGACTTAATTCTGTTTTAGATATTCTGCTCCAAGGTCAGAAAGGTCTAGAATTTTTCACATTTATGTCCGTAACCCACAGAGCAGACTTTTGCCAGAGCAGGGTAACGCTCGTCAGTGCCCATCAAGAGAATTGCAGGCCAGCCTCGCTCACAAATACGGAGAACAGACTAGCCTTCCGGGCCCCTCTGCCAGCTCACGCGTTCAGCCACTCGCTGAAGCAGCACTGACGGGGCTGTGTGCCAGCCCCCGACAGCCGCCCCCCAGCAGGCTCGCTGCTCCCCAGGCCTGTGCGGTGCTTCCCCGCGGCAAACCCTTCCTTGTCCTTCATCCCCTGGTGCCACAGGCCTCCCTGAAGCCACAGGCCCCTCAGGAGCCCTTCCCGACCCGTCTGAGAAGCGGAGCCTCCTCCATTGGGTTTGCATTGGCTTATGTGGTTATTAAGTTGGGGTGTCTCTCCCTTTCAACTGTGTGTGTCTGCCGCTAGACCAGGGTCCTCCAGGTCCGCAGCAGTGACGTGCTGGGCCGGACGCTTCTTTGTTTAGTGTGTGATGGGCTGGCGGGTATGTCCCCGGCCTCTGCCCGCGAGATGCCAGCAGCACCTTCAAAACGGTGGCAGCCGGCACGTCTCCAGACATCGCCACATGTCCCCAGGGAAGGTACAGAGCCTCCGGGTGGAGAGCCGCTGCCCTGGGCTGACTGTGGATCTGTCCCGTCCGTCAGACTGAGCTCCAGGGGGCAGACCCTGGGTCTGCAGCAGCGCCTGGCACGTCGCAGGTGCACAATAAGTATTGGTTGAAATGACTCGGTAGCAGGGTTTGCATGAATTCAGAAGTGAGATGAGGAATGAGCCGGCACCCCAAATAAAAGGCACCTACGAGGGCCAGGTCCCTAAGCAAGGGTCACCAGAGTTACCCTCTCCGTCCCTGTCCGAGACCTGTGCCTCACAGAGGAACGCTTGTTGGCTTGAGGTCCCGGAGTCTAGATCTGGCGTTGTCTGAACCCCATATCTGGGGGTAGAGTGGGGGTGAGGTGGGGAAGGACATGCCTAACCCCAAGAAAGTGCCACCCAAGTAATGGTTCTCGGGAACATGGCCCAGTCCTTGGGGTGACCCGTGTGGTGATGACACCTCGCTTTGGACCACTCACCCTAGGGTGTGAGGGACTTGCCATCATTCACTGTCGCCTGGTGGGACGTGTGTGCGGCCAGCATGGTTTACGATAGAATCCCCTGCTTTTCGAGGTGATCTGGCTGAAGGGTCACAGCAGGGCAACGCCGGGTTTGGAACATGGACAGATGGAGGTGCTGGCGGTGACTTTAGGTGCTGGGCACGGGGCCGCCGCAGTGAAGCCACCTCCTTCCCCGTTGCTGCCCTCTTCTCCTCCCTTCTTGAGTCTCCCGTTGACATTCCAAGACCACCTGTGCTTCTAAGTGTGTGTTGGGGGGTGGGGAGGGCTGGTGGCTGGGGCCATGTGCCCCCAGTCAGCCGGTGGGTGGTGAGATGTCCGCTCTGTCCCCAGGTCACCACGATGCCAGAATACCTCAGGAAACGCTTTGGCGGTAACAGGATCGCCGCCAGTCTGGCTGTGCTCTACCTGTTTATCTACATCTTCACCAAGATCTCGGTAAGGCCGCCCCTGTGGTGTAGTTACTGCGTACTGCTGGGGTGCCCCCCATGCTCGTGGGCCAAAGGGGGTGGGGGAGCCTGGGCAGGAAGTCAGAGGAAAGGTAGGGGAAGGAGTCCTCGCCCCCTCCTGCCAAAGCCTTGGCAGCATCTCAGGCTGGTGCAGGTCAGTGACGGGGAGAGCCCTTGGTGGGGCCGGGACCAGCTGTTACCCAGGTGTGCTGCTGGCCCACAGAGCCGGCCCCGCTGACCCTCGGATGAGCAGTGCCTCTCGCCGTGCTGTCTCGTCCTGCGGAAGGGCACAGGCAGAGAGGCTCCGTCAGTCCCGCAGTGACCGGCTCGGTGCCGTGAGGACGCCTGGGGAGGAGCTCGGAGGAAGGGGTGGCATTCCAGAAAGACGGGCTGGACCGTGCAGAAGCCTGGGGCGTGGGTGACCTTGACCTGGCAGGGGGACAAGTTGCACTTCAGAGTGTCTTGGGGACCGGGGACGGAGTGAGGAAGGAAATGAGGCCGAACGGCAGGCAGGTCAGGAAGGGCCTGGCAGGTGACTCCACCGCATTTATTCAGACGCCTCGGGGACAGTGGGGACAGCGCAGCACTTTCACGGGGAGCAGGAGGGGGGCTTGTGTGAGGGGGTTTGACAGAGGGGAGTGTGGCGGCTGGCGTGGCGGAAGGCCAAGAGGGAGCCAGGAAGACACTGAGGCAGCGTTAGCCCAGAGAAGCGGGTCTCAGACGTGACCGTCCCCAGGGCTCCCGTCTGAGATCCCGCGTCTGGGAAGAGGTGATGAAGAAAGGACGATATAGGGCTCGTCTGTGTTTGCAAGAATCTGGGCTGGGGCTGAGTCTAAACTAAGGGAGCCTATGCTGCACGTGCTCATTCACTCATTCACTCACTCATTCGTTCACTCACTCATTCGTTCATTCACTCACTCATTCACGTGTCCCTCGTGCTTCTGCAGGTGGACATGTATGCGGGCGCCATCTTCATTCAGCAGTCTTTGCACCTGGATCTGTACCTGGCCACCGCGGGGCTGCTGGCCATCACAGCTGTGTACACTGTCACAGGTATGACCAAGTAAGGGGATGCTGGGAGAGGCGGGGGGCAGAGCTGAGGGCCACCCCCGGTTTTCTTGGCGCCTCTTCTGCTGTCCCAGGGTGTTAGGACATTTGTTCATTCAACCTCTGTTTGTTCCCTCGGAGGAAATGATTTCTCTGGGCTGTTGTTCTATGGACGAGGGTTGCCCGATGAGAAGGAGGATTTAAATGCACCCCGACTGCATCGAGCATTTGCTTATTCAGGGCCTACTTCCTGAGAACCTGCCAGGTGCTTGCATGTGTATTCGCACGCCCTGGGTCATCAGCTGCCTCAGTTCTGGGGCCTGAGGTGGGCGGCCTCACCCCCAACCCCCAGGCTTGCTTCTTCAGCAGCGACTGGCGCACAGTAGATTGGCAAGCGTCCGGTTTGAATACTCACCTTCGCATCCTCCGCCCACTCTTGGTTCAACAGAATTCACTCCACAAATATATACCCATCCCTTGTATATGCTAGACGTCACGCTAGGACGAGGGGTGCAGCGTAAACAAGCCAGACAAAATCTTCACCCCAAAGGAGCTTACACTCTGGGAGGGACGGGGAGACAGCGAGCGAGGATGCCAAGCAGTCCTGTGAAGGAAACCCAGCAGGCAGGTTATTTTCTTAAACGGAATGTAGCTCAGGTGACTTTGGAACCAGATGTAAGTGGTAGGAAGGCGTCCCCCTGAGAAGCTCGGGGAGCCGGGGGGGGGGGGGGGAGGACAAAGGTGAAGCCTTGGAGGGGAGGACACGCTGTGCTAGTCAGAGGGGCAGCCAGGGGCCAGCCAGTGCTGAAGCTGAGTGCGGACATGAACCCCGTGGAAGATCCCCCACGTCACGCGGTGCTGCAGCCCCGATGGTAGGAGACGCAGGGGAGGGGAGGAGAGGGACCCGGTTAACCTGGGGCTCGAAACAGGCGACCAAACCCAGTAGAGGCGGCGACCCTGAAACCGGAGGACCTCAGCTGAATCCTCGGCACTGAGTGAGCCGTGTGCCTGGAGCCCAGGGACGGGACGGCTGGTCCCTTCCGTGTTTCCTGGTTCAGGGTCTGTGTCCCCCACTAGACTGTAAGCTTCATGAGGGCAGGGGACGTGCTGTTGAGTTGGCCTCTGTGCCCCAGCCACGTAGATGCAGATGTGTGGCGAATGATTGACTCAGATACTGAGCACAGTGGCTGCCACATGAGAAACGTTCGTGTGGGAACGATGGCGGTTTCAGCAGTGCCACCTGCAGGGTCTCCACACGCAGGCTGACCGCTGGCAATGGGGGAGGGTCACGGGACCCCACACCCACGTGCCGTGTCTTCTGCACGGGGACCTTGCCCGCTGTAAACATGTGCGTATCAGGTAGGGGTCCCCGCCCTCTGGGGAAGGAGCACAGAGGGAGGAAGAGAAGACACTGGGAAGATCAGAATCCACAGGTTTTTCTAGGTGGCAAAACCGACCAGAACCCGCTGAGGCCACCAGCTCCGGCCTGTCAGGGCTCCGAGGACCTGGTGCTCACGCCGTTCCCAATGTTCCGAGCTTGGGGACCGGGGCCCAGACTGCGCTTTCTGCATCAGTAGAAACTGCTGTGTACAAACCACCCACCAGTCCAGGGACTCGGAGCAGCGGTGGTTTCTTTTTTTTTTTTTTTAAAGATTTTTATTGGGGAATTGGGGGGATGGGAACAGCGCTGGGGAATTGGGAGAAGGGGAACAGACAAGTTGCTGTCGTTTTGTTCTTCAGTCTAGTTGTGGAGGGCGTTGCTTCACTGGCCCATGTTGGCACCATCATTGCGCTCTTCCCTGGCGAGGCAGATCAGTCTCTGGCTTCTGGACAGCCGCTCACGGCAGCTGCTGGCTACACACGGTAGCCCATGGCAACCCACTGCCACAGGGGCTGCAGCCTACGCCATCGCCAGCGACTCAGGGCAGCCCAGCTCCAGGTTGAGCTGTTGTTCAGCATCTTAGCTGTGGAGGGCAGTGTCACTGGCCCTCATATGTGGGATCCGAACCGGGGCCATCTGGCGTCCCAAGCCAGTTCTTACCCATCATGCCACTCGCCTGGCCCAGCGGTGGTTTCTTGTCCCCCACGGTTCATCCCGTGGGTGGTCTGGTGTCTGTCCTGTGAGCTGGTTAGATGGCCTCACGCATGGCTGGGTGGTCAGCTCGGGCGGTCAGCTGGGCTTCCCCACATGTGGGCCATCTTCCTCCACTGGGCTGGAATTCTTAGAGAAGCACAGGGCCCTCAGGGCAACATGGGAGCAGGAACGGGCTGGGCGGTCCCGGAGGCCTGGGCATGGGGCCGCACTTCACGTCGTCCACCGTCAGGTCAGAGCAAGTGGTTTGGCCTTGAGAGGCAGATAAGTCAAGATTACCCCAACGCAGAAGGAGCAGGGGGGACACGCAGGAAGGAGCTGCGGCCGTCCTCGCAAGCAGCCAACGCTGAGGAGTCTCCACGGGCGGGTCCTGACCTTCTGGGTCCCCTGTGGGACCCGGTGGACTCCTGTCCGTCCGAGTGCCTGCCCTCACCTGTGTGCTCCCCCCCAGGTGGCCTGGCTGCGGTGATCTACACGGATGCCCTCCAGACTGTGATCATGCTTGTGGGAGCGCTGACCCTGATGGGCTACAGTAAGTGGGGCCCACGCATGGGGCGGCGGCCGTGCCTATCAGCCTGGGACCCGCGCGCTCCTCTCGCATCAGCAAACCCAGCGGCCCAGAGCATCCTGCCCGGGCACTCACGCTGAGGCCTGGTCATTCTAGAGGGGAGAGCGCCGTGCTGCTTGTGGAAGCTTACTGTTTTCTCTAAGAATCAGTAGCTCTTCCTGTATTGATTCAGATAAATGAGGAACTGGGTAAATGGAAGGGGGTCTGCATTTTTCCCATCGTTTTACTCCTAACTACCTATGCCTTGCTACTTAAAGCAGGCTTTTGCAGACATCATGTGGGTGGGTCTGGCTTTTTTATCTAATCTGACAATCTCTGTGAATTTGGGTCTTTAGATCAGTTCTATGGATGTGATTATTGATGGGTTGGATTAAAATCCACCATCTTGCCTGTGGCTGTTGATTTGTTCCCTTTGTCACTCTGGTTCCATGCTCCCCCCCTCCCCCCAGCCTGTTATGCTGCCCGAGGGCTGCGGTGTTCACCTCGGACTGTGAACCTGCTGCTTCCCGAGTTTGAGAGCCTCACGCGCCTCCTGCCCGCGCGGCCACACCCCGCGTGTTACAAACCCCACGTGGCGCTGCAGGTGTGCCCTGGGCAGTCTGCTGCCTTTCAGATCCAACAGGAGGAGAGAGCCTCTCATATTAACCCTCACTCGAATCAGCTGTGACTGTCTTCATTCAGAGCAGTGAAGTTATGCATTTCGGTACGTTATTCTGAGACGCAGCCCACGTCCACTTCCAAGGCATTTACAGGAAAGGCCGAGAAACCCCAAGACGCCACCTTCTCTCACCACCCGTGCTGCCGGCAAACTGGGGCTCCCTCTCGTGTGTAGGTTTTGCCGCCGTGGGCGGGTTGGAAGGCCTGACGGAGAAGTACTTCCTGGCGCTGGCCTCCAACCGGAGTGAAAACAACAGCTGCGGGCTGCCCCGGGAAGACGCCTTCCACATCTTCCGGGACCCGCTGACCTCCGACCTGCCGTGGCCCGGGATCCTGTTCGGAATGTCCATGCCGTCCCTGTGGTACTGGTGCACGGACCAGGTATGTGCACGGCGCCTACCTGCTGGAATGTCTCTCTGTTACAGTAGTGAGCAGGGGTCCGCATGCCTTTTTAGAAGCTGCCCTACAGTCAGGGCTGAAGCGAGTGTGACTTAAGTCACGGGCTCAGAGTCAGACCACTGAACCGATGCAGGAGACGATGCAGAGCACGCAGCCCAGGGGCCCCACGGGCCGGGGCACCTCGGCGTGCAGAGCCACCTAGCACGGCCATGATGGGTGCCAGACCCAGAGGGCTCCCCCTCAGAGGCAGGGCCCTCCGTCCTTAGCAAACCTCGGGCAGGAGGGCCTTTGGGATGGCACAGATGGAGGCCAACAGCTCCGGCTCGGCTTTAGATTGGATGGACCTGGAGTCGAGTCCAGGGCATAACCCAGACACACTGTCTAACGTCTGCGCCTGTTTCCTGTTAAGTGGGGTTCCTCACGGTTACAGAGAAGGGCAGCTGAGGCGTTGGTCGCAGTAGCCTTGCTGCAGGGACAATGGATAAACAAACGTTAAGAACAATTGCATTTCCGCTGTGGTTTGCGTCCCTGCACCAGGGACAGCTCTCCAGCTTGTATTTAGTGATCTGCACAAACTTTTACTTGAGATTCTTCAAACCCTCCTCAGCTGGGACTCCAGTGTGTGTTCCTAAGCCACCTGCTGCCCACCTGCAGTGTCCAGGACCTGGGGACTCAGTGCGTGGGGCGACCTCCTTCCCAACGCCAGGCAGGGCAGGAGGGCCCAGTGGCCCGATTTTGGCCTTGACCACACAGTGTTGCTGCTGAGCTGGCTTCTGCAGAGTCCAGACTTCCCAGCGGCTCTCCCGGGACACGCACGGCGTGGCCAGCACGGCGCCAGGCTCGTTCTAGGAGGCGACTGTCCTGGTTCCCTGGTTGCGAGCATGGTTCTGGGGTTTATCCAGAGCCTGTGGCAGGGAGAAGTGCCCCCAGCTGCACGTCTGTGCAGAAGCCCACAGGCCTCCCCACTTCCCCCCACCCCGGGTGGGCACCTTTGTGCGTGATTGTCGTAGGAAGAGAAATGAAGGTGGGTGTGCGATAGATGCCGTGACGGGTGCAGGTGTGGCTCTTTAAGGCCCCCCATTTTGTATTACCCTTCTGTTCCTCTTAGCTCACTTTCTTCCAACTGAGATGTTACTTAGAAAGTGCCACCTGACTGCTGCCCCCTGTAGGGTGTGACAGTTGCAGAAACAGACCCCTCAGCCTCAGTGACCAGTCTGTGACTAGGGCTCTTTGAGCTCTGGCTGGCTGAGGGTCGTGTCCAGTGGGCACAGGTCAGCTCGTGCAACTGGACTGTGGTTAGGCCATTAGCCATGGCTGCAGATGTCACATGGGTCCCGGGTCATCTTGCTGTCTTCGGGCAGCTGTGTGACAAGGTCCAGGCCCATGGGTTCTGAAGATGAGCCGACCCCCACACAGTGGTCCCTCCCCAGCTGTTTAAGGCCCCACAAAACCTGAAACATTTCGGGCGTGTGTGGCACTGGGCCGAGTCCCACCGCTCGGCACGCCTCGCATTAAGGGTTCTGGGCCGATTTAGTGAGGACTCTGAGCTGTTTTGTAGGAAAGAAACAGTTTAAGCATAAAAGGGCATTTTCCTTAACTTACATGCTAGGGGCCAGGGGGTGATGACAACAATGACAACAACTAATAACTTATTATGCAGTTACTACGTGTCAGACACTGTTCTAAATATTCTAAATGTTTTTATTTCCTTTACTTGCCAAACGGCCCTAGTAGTCTCCCTGTTTTATAGATCAGGAAACTGAGGCCAAGTGAGATTGGTGGCCCAAGGTCACACAGCTGAGAAGTGGGCTCTGAGCCCAGGCCGTCGGTCTCCCGTTGGCAGTGTGAGCCCCATGGTGTCATCAGAAGTTGTTTGTCCAATTACTCATTTTCTTTCCTGACGTGACCGATGGCAGAGATGCAGCCAGCGGTGTCAGCTGCCCTCAGCCAGCGACTCCCCTGGAGGCTGCAGGTGGCTGGGCGCATCTCTTAGGAGAACGTTCCACAGAGAGCCGTCAGTGGCCTGCAGTGGGGACAGTTTCTTCCTTAACCAGCCAGGTGGCCAGGAGCAGAGTCATTCTATGGGGAGCTCTAACTGGCCAGGTCCAACCCCAGGACAAAGGTGCGGGGTGGGGGCAGCGTGGGGTCTGAGGGATGAGAACGGGAAAGAGACGCTTCCTCCCCGGGAAGCCGCAGACCCAGCCCGGAGCCCATGGTGCAGGCTGGTTTGGAAGCCGCCTCAGCCCCCGACACCCCGTGTTCCAGGTGATCGTTCAGCGGAGTCTGGCTGCCAAGAACCTGTCGCACGCCAAAGGCGGCTCCCTGATGGCCGCGTACCTGAAGGTGCTGCCGCTTTTCATGATGGTGTTCCCCGGCATGGTCAGCCGCGTGCTCTTCACAGGTAAGGTGACAGCCGGGAGGAGAGGGCGTCGCATGCGTCTCGGTCATGACGCGTTCTAAGCATGTTCCTGGCCGCTGTGAGTGTGACCAGAGTCCCTTCCTAGCGACTCACTGGACAACTGCTCCCCAACACTGGTTCAGCGTGGTCGTCCTACAGGTGTCCCAGGCCAGAGCGAGTGGGGGCCCCTCGGGGGCGCTGCCTCCACTCTGTTTCTGAAGCCACAAATCAGGCTAAAATCTCAAGGTCCCTGACGTCAGCTCCCTGAACTCTCCTGTGGAGAGGCCCTTTCATGCCTGTGTTTGAGCCCAGTCGTCTGGTAACTTGGGCCCAGTGGAACCCTTTTGGGGGTACTTGACTCAAAAACCAGGGTTGTCAAAGCGTCTAGAGTGTTTACCATAGATTTTTTTTTTTTTTACGTGGTAAAGGGATGAAGTTTGCACCGTGGGGATTAAACAGGACTGGGGGTTGGGGGTCGCTCTTGGGAGTCGCTGGGGTGTCAGGCAGTGGTGATCTGGATGGAAAATAGCCCCCCTTTCTGCCCCAGCGAGCTTCCTCCCGGATCCACCAAGGCTGGTCTGACTGTACGGGGACTGTGAGGCCGAGCTCCCGCCCCTTTGCCTCCACCTGCAGAGGCAGAGACACGGTAGGACAAAGTGGTTCGGTAGGTGGCCCACGAGTTTGGTCCACATAGCTCAGGACAGTCAGGACAGTAAGATTCCGGAAGGAGGCGGGCAGCTGTCCGCGGTGCTAGATGCTGGGCTCAGGTGGGACAAAGGAGCCCAGGTGGGAAGTCACCGGCCCTGTTTCCTGGGAGGGGCGCTGGGCTTGGGGTACATGCAGCCCCCCTGTTCTGGGACCCACAGTGTAGTGGTGGGGAGACAAAAGGGAAAACACGAGGTAGTCACTGGTTTTGCTAAGTGCTGGGCAGCGACCTCTTCCGACGAGGTTTCCATGCACGGCCTCTGTGAAGAGGCAACAGCTGGTCTGGGGGGTGGTTTGGAAATACATTTCCGAGGGGAGCCAACCAGCATCCAACCAGATGCTGGACTGGACGCGGGGGTCAAGGAAAGGAGGCGCCTCCGTCACTCCTGGGTTAGGTGGCCGTCCAGACAGACGTGACAGGGCTGGAGCTGGGTGAGCCAGGACTCAGCTCCAGGTGCATCTGCCTCTCTCCGAACTCACACTGGAGGCTTTTGGCCAGCATGTGGGGTCAGTCACAAGTCCCGGCCCGTCTCTGACAGCCAGCCAGTTATTGCAACATGGCTGTGCTCCATGCGCTGAGGGCTTTGGAATCTGTCAGATGAGTCTGGTACTCACAAAAAAGTAACACACAGGCTGCCGAGACCCTCGAGTGTGTGACACCAGCTGTAAGTACAAAAGGACCTTGAAAGACAGTTGTAGGTGGTCGTCGGGCCCTGGGCGGCTTCACCAGGTGTGGACCCGACCCAGCAGCACCTGGGAGCCTGTTTGGAGTCAGACTGTCCGGCCCCCTCCAAGAACTACTGAGTCTGAATCTCTGGGGGTGGCGCCCAGCAATCCGTTTGTATTTAGCAAGCCCACCAGGAGACCAAGCAGCCCGGCCCCACGTGCCGGACCTGGGGCAAAGCGCTGGGCCTCCCTGTTCCCCGTCTCTCTCCGTCTTGGCTCCACCAGCTCCCATGGAACTCCAGCTGGGTCTGGAGCTGCCTAGAGCGTGCTCCAGTCCCGAGCTCTCGTGAGCCTGGAAAACACGCCTTCCACTCAGTCCACCTGAGAAATGGTGCACACGTTTAAAGGCACACTAGAGGAAATTAAGAGAAGCAAAATAACCCTCAATATAGTAAAATACAAGAGTCTAGAAATGTCCCTATTTACAAGGCCACCTGAGACTTATCCATGATACTTAGTAGCTGTGTGATTTGGGGGAGCTGTTTCATGTGCCTGTGCCTCAGTTTACTTGTCTTTAAAATGGGTATAATAGCAATGTCTTCCCTGCGGGGCTGTGAAGGTCACACTAGGAGGTGTACGCAGTGTTTACTTGCGTCCTTGTCACAGTGAGCCTTCCGTGAGTAGCGACATCAGAAAGGAGGGGTGTTTGTGCTGTTTGGATTTGGTTCTGCGAGAGCCATCCTTACGGCCAGCATCAGAGCGAAGAGGCTGATTGAAGGACCCAGCAGAGGTGGGCGGATGTTACTGAGTGGTGGGTTAGGGACCACAGGCTGTTGGCGTCCTTAGACCAAACACCCACAATTCTGTGCCTCCAACATGCTTCGTAAACTGGGTGTCTGTCACGTCTTTCATGGTTAGAGGCTCATTCCTAGGAGGTTAAACAAAAACTCTGTAGTTAATGCAATACCACAGGGAGGGCCTCGCCTCCTCTCGGGCTTCCCTGAGGATGGGAGCTTTCGCACAAGAGGCAGAGCCCCTAAGATCGGAACAAAACAGGACCTTTGCCCCGCCTGAGGTCCCTCCAGTGTCTGGCCACCGGATGTAATAATTTTCTTATCTTCTCCTGAGCTTTCTCACAAGAGTCATAAAAAGCCAAGACCTTGGACCTCTCAAAGAATTTTTTCAACAACATTGTTTTTTCTCAGTACGTCTTATCAAGTATCATTCTGGGTCTGCAGTCTTCGTTTAGTCTAAGCCTGAACCGGAGCTTGGGGCGGCTCCTCGTACTCCCCAGCAATCACTCTGTGTTAGAGCGGCCTCAGCACCCATGTCCTCTCGCATTGGGGGATGTGCGTGGGGTGGCAGGTCCCAGCCTGGAACAGACGTGACAGCAAGTGGAGGCATTTTACGAAGACTAGTGGCCCTTGGGCTTCCCAGGGGACGAAGGGGCCCGAGGCTATTTCCATTTCTTGGGTCCTATGTTACAGTAAACAAGAAAACAGAGCTACAACATGGGGTTTTTAAATTGTGGTGGACTTGATACGTTCACATTTATTAAATTAGCAGTTTTAGCGCAGATAGAAATGTAGAGAGGGAATACACAACCTTCTCTGGAGGTGGTCCAACATATGCATTGGAGCCATCTGTGAACTTGAGGCCCCAACGACATGGCCACCAGGACGCTGACACGGCTTCAGAACAGGGCTCCATGCCCCCCGCTGAGCTGAGGTAGTTCCCAGTTGCCCTAAGGTGGGCCGAAGGCAGTGTCGCCATCAGGATGAGGAAGAGGGGCCACGGCTGGGACCGAGCAGGGGCGCCTGGGGCGTGGGAGTTGTTCTGGGCACTACTGCAGCTGGCGGGGAGCCTGGTGGAGTGGTGAGTGGTCCAGTGGGGTGGCACTGTGGGCAGGCCTGGGACGGCGGTGAGCAGCATCGGTTAGCTCAGGGCTAGGAGCTGAGGGAGACAGGAAAGCTCTCGGTCAGACGGGGGCCAAGCCAGAGGCAGCACAGCGGCGAGGCCCTGGGGTGATGGCCAGACCCAGTGAAGCTTTCACTGTCTTGGCCTCCCTTCTCTGAAACACTGGAGGGGAGTCGGGAGGCCCGTGTTTAAGTTCTGCGTCTGACGGGACCTCCCTCTGAGACTTGCTGTCCCTCTGGGAAGCGGTGAAGTCATCTCTGCCTTCCTCACACGGTTACGAAGGTCACCATAACTATGTGACAGCTGGCCTGTCCACACACTTACCGAGCACCTCCTCTTTCCACTCCAGTTGGGACAGTGTCATTGTGCTAATGGGGGGACAAAGGACGGGAGATGCCAGGAAGGCAGACGGGCTCCACAGGGCGATCAGAGTGTGGCTGAGGACCAAAAAGAGCTGGGGCCGAAACGCAGAGCGAGGGGGACAGAGGCTCTTGGACCCAGCTCGCTGGGCTGTGTCTGCGATGAGCCCCTAAGAAGGGGTGGGGAGAGAGGAATTGCAGACACGTCAGGCGTGGCGTTCTCCGCAGCTCCAAGGAACGTGGGCAAAGATGGGCATTGCCTGTCCCTCCTGGGGCCAGGGGGACTGGCCGCCGGGCAGCTCAGGTCCCCTTGGGTCACAGGAGTAGCAGTGATGCCCCGAGCATGTCCCCTATCTCAGACCCCATGCTAAGTGTTCCGTGCACACCCTCACCGCTCTGATATCGTCCCAGGTTCACAGGTATGCACACTGCGGCCCAGAAAGGCCACGTGAGAAGGTCATGGTTGGTCAAGTCGAGCCGTCTCCATCAACACGCAGGCGCCCTGCCCTGGGGGTCTGTGCCCTGACCCTGTCTCCTCCACAGATCAAGTGGCCTGTGCAGACCCGGAAATCTGCCAGAAGGTTTGTGGCAACCCATCCGGCTGCTCCGACATCGCGTACCCCAAACTCGTGCTGGAAATCCTGCCCACAGGTAATGTCCCCTCACCCCACACCGAGTCCCCTGGCACACCCAGCAGGGGGGACACCGGCTGGGCTCTGGGCTGAGGCCCCCAGTTGGAGCCGGGCCTTGGCCGTGCGGAGGCCCATGCCTGTCCCTTGTGCTCCCAGGGCTGCGTGGCCTCATGATCGCTGTGATGGTGGCGGCGCTCATGTCTTCCCTCACCTCCATCTTTAACAGTGCCAGCACCATCTTCACCATGGACCTGTGGAACCGCCTGCGGCCCCGGGCGTCTGAGCAGGAGCTCATGATTGTGGGCAGGTAAGGTCCTCCAGGTGGGACGCAGCTGAGCCCTCCCAGGCAGAGCGTCCTCTGGTAGCAAAACTGAGGGACATTAGGACCCCAAATGCGAGTCGTTCGTCCATTCAGGAGGTTTCATGAACACCTCCTCTCTGCCTGGGGCTGGACTTGTGGTGGGAAGGAAGACACGTAACCAGGCAGCTGGAACCTCACAGGGCTGTGCCTGGGGCCAGAGCGGGGGACCCCCTCCCCGGACCGGGACTTGGGGGTGAACAGGAGTTAGCATATTGGGGGCACGGTTCCTCTACCGAGGCTTTAGCAAGGCCCTGAAGTCTAACAGGAACCCGAAGTGACCAAGATGAGTGGCATGTAAATTTTATGTAAACTACATGCTCGTAAGCGCCCTGCAGGCTGGTTCAGCTCTGGTTTTGGGGAAGCATTCTTAGGCGTGACACCAAAAGCATGAGCTATACCAGAAAATGACGATAGACTTCATCAAAATCAACCTTTTCACTAAGAAAATGAGAGGACAGGCCACAGATTGGGAGGAAATATTTGTATTTGCAAATCGTGTGTGTCATGAAGGACCTGGGATATAGAATAACCTACAAATCAAGAGTGTAACCTAGAAACCTCCAGCGAGATAACCCCTGCCCCCCAATAGCAGGACTATAAGAAACAAACAGGAGAAAGTGGGAAAATTGGAACGCTCACGCCTCACAGGTGGGAATATAAATGGTTCAACTGTTCATAACAGTTGGGCAGTTTCTTACAAAGTTAAACATAAACTTACTTACCATATGACCCAGCAGTTGCAATCCTAGAAATGAAAACGTGTCTGCACGAACACTGCTCACAAATGTTCCCAGCCGCGCTTGACAGCAGCCAAAGCCAATAGAAACCGTACAGGTGGGACATAAACAGGGCACGGGGTGGCACCTGTTCCACGGATGGTTTTCACCCAGAAAGCAGGAAATGCGGATGCATAAACATCAGACACGCGCGTGGAAGGGCCAGCCCACAACGCAGATGCTTAGGGCCGGACCCAGAGCATCTGTGCCCGGTCGTGGGGACTTTTCTGGGGTGACGGTCGCAGAACCCCAGTCACGGGAGCCACTGGGTTGCCAGGTAGATTCTGTTCTGTCAGTGACACTGAGACAGACACGCTTGCAGGGTGTTCGTGCTGCTGCTGGTGCTGGTCTCCATCCTCTGGATCCCCGTGATCCAGGCCAGCCAGGGCGGCCAGCTCTTCATCTACATCCAGTCCATCAGCTCCTACCTGCAGCCGCCCGTGGCCGTGGTCTTCATCGTGGGCTGTTTCTGGAAGCGAGCCAACGAAAAGGTAGCTGTGACGATTCCCATGCTGCCGCGGGGAGGGGAGCCTGGGGTGTCGCCGTGGAGGATAAGTTCTGTGGGGGAAGATACGGGAGGGCGTTACCTGGCCTCCAGGGAATCTGGGTGAACTGGGAGCGAGGACGTTATATGTAACTAACTACAGGTGAAAGACCAGTAGCTCCAACCCTTCCCGAATCACTGACCCCTGTGAGGACCCCATCCTAGGCAGACCAGCTCTCGCGATGACTTGCTGGGCTTCTGGAGCCCAGATGTCACTGAGATGTCCTTGCTCTGACTTGCAGGGAGCCTTCTGGGGTCTGACCTTGGGCCTTCTCCTAGGCTTGATCCGGCTGGTCCTGGACTTCATTTACCCACAGCCACGCTGCGACCAGCAGGACACGCGCCCCTCCGTGGTCAAGGACGTTCACTACCTCTATTTCTCCATGGTCCTGTCCGCCGTCACCCTGGTCAGCGTGTCCGTCGTGAGCTGGGTCACAGAGCCGCCCTCCAAGGAGATGGTACACTGGGGTTTAGTGACAGAAAAGGGACCCCACAGGCTTAAATCCAGGGGATGGAGTGTTGGCAAAGCTAGAAGGCCAGGGCTTCGGGGACGGCTTGATTTCAGGACCTGGAGCAGCCCTCAGGCCCCGGGGTTTGTCCTCTTTTTCTCACTAAGCAAAAGCATGAATGTTGGTGTCCCAGCTGAGTTCCTGATCCCCATTGATGGGAGTCAGCTCAACACAAACGTTCACCCATCAACCAGTTTGGTCACTGTGGCCAGAGAAATGGCTGAGCTGAGTGGCCGACTGTTGGGTCCCCTCAGGCTGCAGGGCTAGGGTTACACTTTGGGGAATAAAAGGGGGAAAGGTCCACTGATTCTAAGGGGTGTAGGGGCAGAAGCTCGTAGGACCGAGATGGGAGACTGGCCACAGACTCAAGATGTGAAGGCTGGACTGGGGAAAAGGGTGACCACCACCTCACGAGCCGTGTCTGCCCCACAGGTCAGCCGCCTTACTTGGTTCACTCGTCAAGACCCCGTGGTCCAGAAGGCACAGGGGCCACCAGCAACCGCCCTGCCTCCTGCACTCGCTCAGAATGGGACGGCCGAGGCCAGAGGCCCCAGCACCCAGCTGGACATGGTTCTTCAGGACAAGCCCAAGACGCACAGTGGTGAGTGGTCTCTCCCCGGTTACAGGGGGGCCTCCAGAAGCATTGTGTGGTCAAAGGGAAATCCTCCACCACTACAGCCAGAAGAGGCTGGGCGTCCCTGACCCCCAGGATCTGGCTCTGCCCCTCTCCAGCCCCCGGAAGTGGGTTCCTCAAGGGGCACTGACAGCACGTACTTGAGGGGTGCACGCTGAAACATGGCTCGTTTTGTCCCCACAGAGCCCCAGGGAGGGAGGCCGGGGCCAGCCACATTCTCTGAGGACCGGGTTTCAAACTGGTGGCTGCAGACATGTTTAGGTCCAGCCTACCTCCTGTTTTACTAATACACGATGAAGGTTTTTCAATCGGGAGAGTTCACATAGAATTCCATCTCCTCTGGGAAAATGTGAAGATCTGGCCACACGTCTGCTTAGCAAACATCTGGAGCACCCTTCCATTAGCCCAGGTCCCCACCAGCCCTGACTATCTCCATGACCCGGGACTGTGGCTGTCACTTATCACTCGTGGCCTTTTTCCCCCCAAATCAACCTGAAGTGAGAACTCAGGGACGAGTCAGAAAGCCATGTGTTTTCAGAAAACTGACAGGGCGTTTCTCGGTGGAGGTGAGGGACCGATTCCTGTGCGTCCCTGCCTGGTTCCACAGCAGTGGAGACCTGGAAGTACCCACCTTCCAGAATTAAGGTGAATTAACGCCTCCCAGAAGGGAACCTGAGGGCTTATCACAGTGCACGGAACGCCAGGTTTGTCCCCTCTGCAGACTCGGCCCATCCTCTTACCTTTGCTTGGGTTCTTTTCAGGGGATGTGACCCCAAAGAAGTCCAGGGTGCTGAGAGCCATCCTGTGGCTCTGTGGAATGGGGGGCCAGGGCCAGGCACAGCCCCGGAGCAGAGTGGAACCCGTCATCACCTCCTCGGAGGAAAACCCCTTGGTGAAAACCCTCCTAGACATCAGTCTCATCGTGTGCGTCAGCTGTGGTATCTTCCTCTGGGGCTACTTTGCTTAGCGAGTGGTCAGCCCAGGCGTCCACGCTTTCGGGGCTTGCCATGCACTGGTTTTTTTTAATGAAGGAAAAAATAAAGCTGTGTTTGTTTACAAGGCTTCAAGGGTGTTTATGGGCCATTTTTAATGTGACATGTACTCTTTTCTTCTTAAAAGGGAATGGAGCTTAGAAGCTCAAAAGGCTGGCTACTCACTCGTCCCCTCCAGAGTCAAAGGATAAACAGGCCGAGACCCCAGCCTGGCTGTAGCCACACGCACTCTCCCAAACTCCCAGCACCAAGTCCACGTCCCTTGATGGGACTTTGAAGAGCCCTGACGGCCAGGCTCCTCTCCAGTTTTGATTCTGATGGCTCTGCCTTCACAGGCTGAGGTTGTCCCCGCACCCTTTCTTCTGGACCTAATATGGTGGCCGGTGTGCAGTGGTCCCCATACGGTCGGTTATAAATAGCCAATCTATAGGCTTTGGTCTCTGCCCTTCCCTCTAACTCCTCAGCTCTGCTTAAAATCACTTCCTCCTGGAAGCCCTCCCGGCTCACCCCACTTCCTCCCTGATATGTGCCTTCAAAGTGGACATCTCACTTTACTGTTGATGACATAACTGTCTCCCATTGGAAGCTCCCAAGGGCAGACGTGTCAGCCACACCAACACCTAGCACAGCGCCTGGCGCATTAATGACCTTAAAACGCATGGGTCATCTGACTCCTTAGCTCACATCCGTAAGCTTCCCCCGCCGGCAGCCCACCCCTGACAAGAAGCAGGCGCTGTCCCTGCACCGTTAGTTTCTTGAGGTCCAAGCTTGTGGAGGTGACCAAATATTCAGTCATCGCCCTCTGGCCTGAGGGCACCACGGAGCTGCAAAGCCCTCCCGACCACCATGGTCTCTAGGCCGCCCTACAGCCAGCATTCACCTTGGGGACCACACCGACTCCACCTCCTGCCCGATGCGTCAGCCTGTCCGTCACCCCCACCATAATCCAGGCCAGTGCCGGTTCTTCCCACGGTCTCCTGCCCTTGACAGCTCCCACATGTGGGGTAATGGGGTACAAGGCCCCGCTCCCCCGACCACGCCAGCCTCAGTCCCTGCCCGCTGCCTGCCTCCCATGCTACTTCGGGTGCCTGTCACTGCTCCGTCCTGTCGCCTCTGCCTCTCCTGCCAGGGGCTGGTTTGGTTTGCAAGCTTCCTGGGAGCCCAGGCCATGCTTGTGGGTCAGGTTGGTTCCCAGGTCTAGGCCCGTGTATGAAAGAGGAAGCCCTCGATATTTACCTGGAGGACACACAGCAATTATTTCAAGGCCTGGCTTCAGTTCTAACGGTCCTCATGTGAAAACACAATGCTGGGTTTCTACCATGAAATGGCATGCAAATGTCCTCTGGGTCATTCAGTTATAACTATTGATATGCATCAAAACAACGCATATACAGGTAGAGAGGGTGGAAATGGAGCCCTGATCAATTTGTTTTTGGACTTCTGAAAACTTTTTTGGGTCAGAATACCCCGGCATGTGTATGTGTATGATGGACGCATCAAAAGATGACCCCCCACCTTCGTGGCATTCGCTCAGTGTGGGGCAGCCACCCCGGGAAGCCCACGCGCCCAGGAACTGCAGGCCGGCAGTCCTGCTGGCAGCCCGAGGAGCTCGGGAGCGCCTCCTTCCCCAGGCGAAGCTCCAGGTGGGACCCCAGCCCCACGCACGCCTTCCCTGCAGCCTCCTGAGACCCATGCAGACAACCGGACTCCTGACGCACAGAAAATGGGATCGTAAATGTGTGTTGCTTTAAGTCGCTAAGTGTGTGGACGTTTGTCATGTAAGTGACGCTGCATGTGCTTTGTGAACATACGATGTGTGGCTGTGAAGGTGGAGGTGGGAGGGAAAGGGTGCCTGGGGAGCCTTGCCTTGGGAAGTGCCAGGAAGGTGACGGCGTGGCGACCTCCCAGCAGGGGCGACAGCATCTCTGTGGCACCTTGGAGATGCTTCTACTGAGAAGCCGCTATGGCTTTAATCCAAGACCAGCCCTCACGCCCCGGGCCCCACGCCACGGCTCACCTGTCAAGACGGGCGATAGCCTCGATTTGGGATTGGTCTTGATGCACGCAGAGCCAAGTAAATCTCATTTTCTTTAGGTTGGAGCAGTTGAGGGACATGCTGTGAGGACGGCGTGTGGAGACGTAAGTGTACCATCAAGACGAGGCGGCGGGGCTTGCGGTGCAGAATCGGTGACGCCCGGCTTCCTCCTGAGCGCGAGTTTGGGCGTGGGGCGGCCGCATTTCCAAGGACTGTGGAAGCCGACCCCTGTGCTTCCTCTGCGGGGCTTGTTCTACAGCTCGGGAGGCAGAGAAAAACCACAGCGGATGGCGTCTGAGCAGCGCATGGGACGTCAACAAACTGAAATTTACACTACGGGGGACATGGCGGTGGAGGCGCATGGTTTCGATATGATTAATAAGTGGAAGGAGGTGCAGTACCTGCTGAGCAAGGGGCAAGGGACAGGTCGGGATGCATCCAGCAAGCGGCTCTACCAATGGGGCTGCTCAGGGCAGCCAACACTGGCAGCACGTCCCCCTCGACGCCCAAGGAAGGCCGCCAGATGCGGGCCCCGGAGGGGCTGTTGTCGGACCGCCGTCCTGGCTTGTTGCTGCACTTTGCTCCAGTCCCACCCGTTCCCATGGAACGGAATGGCTTCTGACCTCAGCACAGGCCCGGTGGGGTGTGCATGGTTCCCCGGGAGTCTAACGGTCTCTAGGTGACAAGAAAGGGTGTCAGGACTGGTGGGAGCAAAGGGCGGGCCTTACCTGCGAGCACTCACCGAGGAATAGCCAGTTGGGACGTCTCTGGGCAGCTGGTGGCTAGTGTCACTGCTGTGATCAGGCTCTCTGTTCTCTCAAACGTCTTCAGTCACAGAGTGACCTGCCGATGTCCCGTCCACCATTTTACTTGGTTATGTGAACACGCACGCACGCGTACACACACACACACAGACTTTTACCTCCAAGAACAATAAAGTTTTCATATAAACCACAGAATATATTTAATTCAAATTAAACATGAAACTAGAATAATGTTCGGTCCTTATCAAGTAGCAATTACATTGGGTTTTTTTTTAAAAAAAGAACAGTACATTTCTTTCTACACGCTGGCAATCCAACAAAGCACAAGTCACGTCCGGTTTGCCAAGGTGACAGATCCAGCAGTCACCATGGGAGCGAGCGGGACACAGGCCACAGTTCACGCAGAGGGACTCCGTGCAAGTCAGAAGAGCAACAGTGTAAGGGGGAGGGTGGGGGCGCGGGTGACATGCACGGTGTGTCCTCTTAAATAAACACTGAGGCTTTGCTGTTCCTTCCCAATCGCCGTGGGGGCTGTCTGCACGGGCGGCGGTCACAAAGCTTCCTGTGCACAGCTCGGCCACAGCACTCCATTTCCACTCTGGGTATTTTGGGGTTTTTTTGGCATGGTTTCTTTCCCATGTAAAGAAAGCCAACTTCCTCCTTCTTCAGGACACAGGTCATTCAGCTTCAAGTGTCAGCCCCCATGTTCTCGTCGGGCTGTGAGAAGGAAGCCAGGTCCTGGGCGGTCAGGCCTGTTCCTCATCCCCTGAAAGCTGTCACTGGTCGGTAAAGGTCAGCGTCGGCCTGCCAGCCCCGCCCACCAGGGGTGGCGCTCTTCATAGGGCGGTGCTCTCTGTGTCATTGTCCATGTCCAACAGGACGCGGCCGGGCAGGTCTTTGCTCGCCGAGTCTGAAAGCATGTCAGGGAAGATGCTGTGAGGAGGCTCTGACACCCTAGAACTGGCGTCTGGACAGAACAGAGAGGCGGAGTCAGTGCGCGGCCACACCAAGGGGCCAGCCGGCACCGAGACAGAAGCTGGGAGTTGAAGAGTCAGCTCATGCACACACACGCCCCCTTCCTAGAGGCTCCACCAGCCCTGAGACCGGGGGTGGCCATGTGGCAGAGCCCCACCTCCAGCTGTGCTGCTCCCTCCTGTGAGTCACGGGCAGGCCTAAGATGCCAGCCTCCAGGCTCTGCTGGTTCTGATGGAGAGACCTTCACTCTCACCAATGCCTGTGACACTAATCAAGGCCTGACAGCACCTGGGCTGCGGGGACAGGTGAGCTTCACTGAAAAGAGTTCCCCCCTCCCAGGCTGACAGCTTTTCCTACTGTGACTGCTGGGACCGCCACCTCGGCATAGGTGACATTCTGGGGTGTAAAGCGTCCCGTGCACTGGGGGTGTTTAGCAGCCCCCTGCCCTCTACGCTAGATGCTAGTGGCACACCGCCCTCTCCCCTACTGGGACAGCCAAAGATGTCTCCAGACACTGCCAAATGTCCCCTGGGGGGTACAGTGACCTGTGGTTAACAATCACTAAGGTAGATCGCCAAATCTGCAAATACTGATATTCTAATCTGTTTCTAAAACTTACATTTCCAAATTTTTGTCGTGTCTTACTATATTGGCTGGAACTCCTTTAGCGAGACTGCAAACACACGATCCGTCAGGCCTGTGGCCGAGACGCCTTAACCATCACCACCCCTTCTCGTTAAGCGATACGTCCCCGTTCATTCATTCACCAACAGCACTTACTGAGCACCTGCCCCGTGCCAGCCACTGTTCTACCTGTGAGGACACGGCAATGGGAAGCCAGACGCAGCTCTAATAAAGCCTGCAGTCCAGTCGGGGAGACAGGCCCCTTCAGGACAGAAGGATTCGTTTCTCCGGCAGATGCAGGTTTGAGCAGACGAGAGCCTTGTCAGGATTTTAGGGCTGGAGAGAAAGGGGTGCTGAGACTTGCTGTGGTTTCACTGGCCAGGAGGAAGCTGGGAGAGACGGAGTGGGAGGCGGGGTGCTGGGGAGCCCCTGATGCCTCAGAGCTGCTCTGTGTCCCTGGGGGTGGGGTCTTACCACATCCACCCCAGGGAGCGGCTTTGGGTGGCACTGTCCTGCCTGCCCTCGTCCACAGGCGCGGTGGCAAATGCATGGGCACTTATGGGGGCTCAGCCGGGGGCTGCTTCCTGTCCCCAATGCCCACAGCTCTGAGCTGCGAGACATGGCCTCTTGGCTGTCCCTTTTCTCATTGTGACTCCTGGATTTCCTGTG